TTCTTTAAAAGTATGAAGTTAGTAAATGTATGGCTAGAGGCGGGATGAGTAGCCAAGAATTAGCCAGAGTAAATTTTATTCTTAAAATATTGTGGCCACAGAGCGTACATAAGCCGTACTACAAAGTCTACTTTCAAGTGATCTCTTCGAACGAAGCGCCTCATATAATTACGATCAATTCTAAGTTCGTTTAATCTTTGTAATTTTGCATGTTTTTATTATTCTCTCACGAGATGGATTAAGAGTAAATCTTCATCCGATGAACTTTCTTGTTCCTCGCTGGACGAATATGCCTCTAAGAATCCTTTTAACCAACTGCCAATCATTGTTTTATTAATGTTTATTCACAACTGCTTAACAAGTAACAACCATAGAGCAAAGATGGTAACAACTCCACTCTTCCAATAATAACGTTATTTATTATGTTTTCGATATTTCTGTCAAATGTCACAAAAACCGGAGGTTTATCTGATAGCAAATACACCGGTAGTTTCCGATGAATTTTGATGACGCAGTAGGAATCGTGTGCTCACCGCTAAGTGGACATTCTGCATGTAGTCAAATGTTATATCAAAACTTTTTTGCCTTTTCCTTTTTATAAAAATCGCGAGTTCGGCAGGATGCTGCTAAACTGCACCTCCTAGTGAAGGACTTTTTATTTTAAGTTCAAATTCTTCACATTTGCAACAAGTGTCTATTTGTGGACGGCCAAAATGAATGTCAAAATGTCCATGAAAATATTTCCCTAAGTAAGAATATCGAATTTTGGTTGTTGGATATTTTACTCTGAACATATCAAACATAATTTTCATATTGAGTTTAGCATCAAGATATAGATAGGTTTTACTGCTGTAATGAGTTTACTTAACAGGGAATGCTTCAATATGCTGACGAATTAACACGTTGTTCTCTTCTGAAATAGCATTGCCTTTTATGTTTTGTCCACGCCTGTTATACGGAGTTATATTTTGTTTTAGGAAGACCTTTAAACTTTTAACCTTAATGGTATCGCTAAAACAAAACAAAGAAATGCCTCTTTGACATACTTCTTCGTTTACCATCAACAGGAATATAGTGATGAAAGGAGCAAGTTTTTCCCTTTGAGTTCCCGGAATTTTGTGGTTGATATTTTCTTTATTAACTTTCACTCTAAAAGACCCTTGCGTATCATAAGTCCCTGACTACAATTTGAGTGCTGGGCGGTTTTGGCCGGTGCGAGTAAAAAGTCCATCTTTTATATCATCATTCAATTTTTCAAAGCATTTCATTGGTCAGCTAAAAAAAAAATGGTCAGTACATAATTACAGAAAGAATTTATCTATTACAAACCTTACTCGGCATCCATCATCTCCAAGCTTTCTCTTGCTGCTACAGTTTTCCTTTATAATTTACGTAAGTTCTCCCCTGAACTCTAGCTTTCTTGATAAAATTCCTTTTGTAATTTTCGTCATTTCTAATCCCTCGTTTTCTTTTCTTTGTAGCTTCTTCTACTGATCTTTCTGACAGGGTATCGTCGGTATCATTCATTATTATTATAGCAATACGTGAACTGAACGAAGTACAACAA